AAGAGCCAGTAGCTAAACTTCCCGTGATTTTAGTGATTAAGAATGAGAAGCAGATGTGAACCAGCGCTGCTCCAGGCTAAACTCAAAGAAACAGGAAGCAAACTGACCTTCCCCTTCTGCTCCTCATCGTCACCTCCTTCCTCCTCTCTCTCACATCCTGCGTGTTTCATCTTGAAGGGTCGTTTACCCTTCGTCATCTCGTTTCCATGGCAGCCAAACAGACGACGGTCTGCTGAGGAGGAAGGCCGGGGAGGCGTGGATGGACCAGAGACCGTATGGTTCTCCCCGAGGCTCTGATGTCTGGAGGAGGTGGGCGGGGCTTGTTGGTGGGGGGCCAAGCTGATTGGTTCCTGGGCCGGTTGACCATCAGAAGAGGGCGGGGCCACTTGGAGACCTGCAGGGAAGCACAGAGCTCCTCTGAGGCCGCGTTCAGACCTTCATCTCAGGACCACTGAGGTGTTTCCAGGTAAACCCAGAACCACAGAGAACCTGACAGCCAATCACATTTCAGGAATCTCTCACCTGTGGGACCGACCCGCCTCAGGAAGCTGGGCTCCCTCCAGCTCCCAGTGACCTCTGAGCTCTCCCTCACAGGGAGCCACTTCCTGTCCCAGGAGGGCAGCCATTGGCTCAGCTCTCTGGGGAGGCGGGGCCTGTTCAGTTGGAGGCCGTTTAGCTCGACGCAGACCTTCAGCTTTTTCACTTCCTCCAGAGTCGAGTCTGTAGAGACAAGCAGAAAATAAGTCACCTGAGGTCACCTTAGGTTACCTGAGGTCACCTTAGGTTACCTGAGGTCACCTTAGGTTACCTGAGGTCACCTTAGGTTACCTGAGGTCACCTTAGGTTACCTGAGATCACCTTAGGTCACCTGAGATCCTAGTGGTTCCCTGACGGAGGTGAGAAACTGTTGTTCTCAGAGTTAATGACTCAGATTAAACACAAACTAAAGGAGAATATTGGTCAGATTTAGAACGATGCTGCGACTGAACCGAACTTGGAAGGAACGCAGAGGTCACTGCTCCTTCTGGACAGGTAAGGTAAACGCTTGCTAATGCTATAGCATCGGCAGCAACAGTAGAATAAAAAGCTGGAATGAGAGAGAGCGCCACCTGCTGGCAGGGAGGAATTCAACTATAACCTTTGAACTGTGTCTAAAGTTTGAAAAAAGGAAATTCTTTTGTAACCATGAAGACGATCTATTGTTTCTACCTCCAAAGAATCAGAGGATCAGTTGTTACAGGTTTCTGCTGAACAGGAAGTCTGGAGGAGAAAACATGGAAGGATCTAGAAGCAGACTGTCTATGGACCCCAGTGGAACGCCAAATCAAACACGGTTCTCCTTTGATTAGAACCGCTGGGAAAGAAAAGTCATGATGCTGCAGAAATATATTCACCTCTTCCTGCGCTTGATTTATATTTGATTTCTCTTTCTGCAACAAACTTTATTTTCTAAAATATTGTTTACAGATTGATCCAGCAGAAAGAGAGACGTTCTAAGGTTCTACCGTTGGCGGCTTTGACTCTCTTGTTGGGGTTTGCCGTCTCCTCCTCATCCTCTCCTTCATCATCCCTCCCTCTCTTCTGTGGGCGGCTGATGATGCTGCTCTGATGAAACGGCTCCAGGCTGAAGATTCGCCGCCGGTTGACAGGATGTGACCTCAGGGGGGAGCGGTTCCCCTGAAACCGACCTCTGGGTCCCGAGACAATCGCTTCAGACGACTTTTGGCTTTTCTGCCCGCCCTCATGTTCCCTGCCATCATCTTCATCATTCTGACTGAAGACAGGAGGGCCGAAGACTCCATGTTGGATCGAGGAAGAAACATTCAGACCTGAAGAGAGAAAATAAAATATCTATTTGCCTGTTTACACAAACTGGAGGAGAAATAAAAAACGTTCTATATGTTCGAATGTGAAAAAACGTTCCAACTAATGAGCATCCAGTGGGGTGCAGGACAGTTCAGTGGGATTTCACGTCTTTCCGCAGACTTCCTCCTACCTCTAACAGTGTCAGCAGCTGCAGAAGGAGCTCCCTCTCCTCCTCTCTCCTCTTCCTCATGTTCTTTGTCGTCCTTTCCTCCCTGCTGGCTGTCTGCCAGCCCTTCCTCTCCTCCTCCTCCTCCTCCTCTGTCCCTCAGCTCAGAGAGCTGCAGCGTTGTGCTCTAAGAGAGAAGAAATTAGCAGAAAATCTGGTTTGTGTTTGTTGCCTGTGATGAAAGCAGGCGTTGCTTTAACTCTAAGAAGCAGAACTGTTCTGTTCTCTGTTCATCAAAACTTCTCTGCTGGTCAGAAGGTCCAACTGGTCCAACTCTCTACTTCCAGACATCAGCAGAGATCATCAACCCTGACCTCCCAGAAGAGCTCATCGCTGGGATTGGATCAATCTGCAGGTCCTAAGCTGAGGTTCTGATTGGATGAGACGGTGGTTCAGATTATCTGAGCGTCAGACAAACACCTTCATGACCCAAAGCTTATCGTTATTTCAAAAGGAGGACATTTCCTAACTACACTGACCGTCTCCCTCCAGCCCTCCAGGTGGCGCTGCTGCTTTTTAAAATAGGCCCATTGCCACTCAGAAGGAAACACTGAGCAACAGAAAGTTCCTCCATGAGGTTGTCTCTGGATCAGCAGCTTTCTGAAAATAACTGAACCTGAAAGACAGCAGAGTTTCTATGGAAACCAGGGAACAGGATGTGGGCAAAACCAACACTTTAGCACAGCGCGGGTTTAAGCTAACAATCGCACTTTAGGTGGTCGACACCAGGGGAGGCTCAGCTAGAGAAGAATAGATTCAATCAAATCTCATTGTCCATTAAAAGGAGGAAAACCAGGCTGAACTGTTGCTGCACACAAACACATCGGATCACCAGGTCCGTCCATCACACAGCAGGTGACCAAAGATCAAAGGTCAAAGGTTTTATGTGACTAATGGAGGAATGAGGTGATAAATGCTCCTACCTGCTGAGCACTTTGCTCGCTGCCTCGCCTGCTGACAGACAGATCGGGGGTCACTTCTCCCATCATGCCTTGCAGGTTTTCGATCTGCCTGATGAAGTTGGACTGTCCTTTTCTGCAGGAATCGAGGTCTTTAGCATCACGGTGGAGGAGACTGACATCGTGTTGGATGTTCTCCCCTTCATTCCCACAGCTGGCATTGGTGTGAAGGTCCTTGTCCACATGTGGCGATGGATCATCATGGACTCTGCTGTCATCTCCGTTTGTAGCAAAAATGTTCAGACCATGAAGAGGGAAACTGGGATCGACGACAAAGGGAGTCTTTCCACTGGTAGGACTGGGAGTTGGGCTGACAGCATTGTGATGTTCCTCATTAGAAAATTGGTCACGACTGTTTTTACAAATTGAGTTCCCATTTTCACCAATTAAAGAACTCCCAGGGTCAGTCGGCGACGCCGTCAAACTCTGATTTCTGCGACAGAAACGGCTAACTTTCGGACATTTACCGTCTCTGGTACATGTGGGTTCTTTGGGGTTAAGTCTAGAACAAGATGAAGGCATAGAATCAAGTTCTCCTTCGGCCAGGAATCTGGGACTGAACATGCTCCACCCTGGGACCTCAGTATTTGGTCTCTTTCTGGAGCAACCTGCACTTCCTGATGGATTCCCACCTCCACATGCTGGACTCTTTGAGTTTGCGCCTGCATCATCATCTGTAAGGTCACCAGAACTAATATCACTATTTGGAACCAATGATATCCTATTTTTGGGAGGACTTTGCCGAGGATTGTCTCCTTTATTCCAAGATTCAGAGTTTGCTTCCTGTACGGAAGGTTTTACATCAAAATCACCTAATGCCACTGGCTGATCATCTCTAGGTTTAGAGTTTGTTGAGAACTGCCATGGAGATGTTCGGGCAGATTGCATTGATAGCTCTTCTGGGATGTCTAGGAATGGGCTTTGTGGGTTTTCCTCCTCTGAGATCTCTTGGCTACTACTAGGGAGCGATGAAGAAGTGCAGTGAGGTGGAGTTTGGCTTAGTGAGGCTACTCTATGTCTGGCATTCCAGATATGATGAGGAGTTTCTGAAAGCAATGCCCTCTTTCCTTGGAATTGGTTCAATCTGTTGTTGCAGTATTTGGGGAAAACAGCCACAAAAGGTGTGCAACTGTTTTCTGTAGTATTTTCCTCACGCACCGAGTCAGAACTAACTTCTTCACCCCGACCAACAGATTCATCTGGAGCAGCTTTAGAAGCTGGATTTATAGTTTTAATGTCATTGTTCGTCTTTTGACAGGGGTTAGCGTCTTGCCTTTTTTGGTCCATAAATTGTTCTTTATTTCTGACTTCATGGGTTTCAGACAAACAATGATTTTTCTCTTTGTTTTGAAAACCTGAACAGGTTGACATGGAGGCTATCTTCTCAGCGCTCTCATAAGTTAATCTTCCATATGGGTGGCCATGTTTGACTGCAGTACCTGACTGGTTAAAGCTGTTGTTGCCTAGCAATACAGGATGAGGATAGCCATTATTTGGCACTGACATTCGCTGCATTGACATAGTGTCTGGTACAGAGTACCGGACGTAGCGTTTACTGTGACCTAAACCATGAGGTAGATGAGAGTTTTTATAAATCTGACTGGAGGAGTTTTTATTCTCTTGATTTAACCGTTGGTAATGTAACAGATCAGGTTGGTTATCATTACTGTTGGCATTTGATGGAGTTTTAATATGTTTTCTTGAGAAGTGGTCCTCTTTGCTGCTTTTCCTAGAGTCAGGAGGAGAAACTTGGGGCCCTTCCGCCTTTGTTTTGGGGATATTTGTAGAACGGTTTGCTGCAGAGACGGTACTCTGGGTAGCGGTTTTCTGTCCGATCGTAGATTCAGTTGAAACTAACTGAATATTGTCGGCTGCTCTGCTTGTGGCTTGGGAGCAAACATCACGGTTAGAGCTTATAGCTGAGGAAGAGCCTCCAGTAGAGGTTACGGTACAGATGGTCCCGTGATTTGAAGTCTTGTTCAAAGAGCTGACAGCTAAAGCTTGAGCCTCTTTCAGGTCTTGCTTCTGATTGGGTACCAGCATATGTTGAGATGGTTGTGAATACTCCAGATTGACCAGCGCCTGGGATTGGGATGGAAATCTATTCAGGAATTCAGCGGCCTGTTCAGCAGAATTCCCCTTTTCTTCGCGGTTTTTGGTGGCTTCCTGAGGTACAACATTGCTTAGGGATTGCTTTGCGTGTGTTGAATGTTTGTCAGTGTTACTGATGGTATCTCTGGTACTGCCTCTGCCTGTGTCTGTGGAACAGCTTTGCTGGGAGCTACTGTAGAAATGATGGGAAGCAGCAAGAACGGTTAAAGTTGAGGAGAGACTCTGGTAGTAGAGATTCTGGAGCTCTGTACTGGGACTGCTGATGGACTGGGATTGAGGAAGAGAGTCAGACGGTTGGGAACCATGAGCTCCACTGTCAGCTCTGCCTTCGGTAGAGGTGGATCGACATGCGGAATCACTGTGGAATCTGTCCTCTTGCTGACATTCAGATGGATCTGTCTGCATCTGCAGAGTCTGGGAACTGGTCCTAACAGCAGAACGTTCTTCAGGCCGTTGTTGTCCAAAGCCCTGCAAGGTCTTTTCCTGGCCGTGGGGCAGAGGTGAGAGAACAGAACGGGTGGGGTTTGCAGGGGACGTCCTGCTGGGAGCCGCCAGTGAGGAGACGAGCTGAGCTGCTGAGTACGGAGAAATGAAGAAAAGTCTTTCATCTCTAGATGTACTACTGCCATTTGCACACAAAGACTGATATGCTAGAGGCTTAGGGGTGAAAGGCAACGCAGACAGGAGGGAGGTTCTGTATGCCATGTCCAAGAAGGGGTAAGATGAAGGATCCATGTAAGGACTGACCCACGGGAGGCTGAAAAAGCTGCCAGCACCATTTAAACTCCCTTCTGACTGCTTGTCAATGACTGCAGGCCCGTGGTTCAACCCGAGGCCGTTAGTCTCTGCCGCTGAGACGAGCAGAACTTCCTGCAGCTCTGGAGTTGGGCTTCTGTAAAGTTCAACACTTCCAGATTTCTGGTTTTCTAAAACGGGCACAGTGGGCTTACGCTGGAGGTCAGAACCACGCTGGAGGGACGAGTCCGGCTGCTTTTGTTTAGAGAGAGAATGGACGCCATTCAAGATCATTCCTCTGTGGGGGGGGACAGTTCCTATAACCAGAGTGTTTGGGTCCATGCTGAGAGCTGCTAGAGGGTTCATCAGGGGAGCTGCTCTAACCTGGAAGGGAAAACACAAAGAAAGCTGGATTCCTATAAGCAACAAAATTATTCTCTGCTCAGTTACATTCCCATTCAGACTGAGTAAATATTCAGTTAGCACATTTTAGAAAAGACCCGGGTACGATGCTGGTGGACTGGTCCTCAGACTCTGGACTGGTCCTCAGACTCTGGGACTGGTCCTCACACTCTGGGACTGGTCCTCACACTCTGGGACTGGTCCTCACACTCTGGGACTGGTCCTCAGACTCTGGGACTGGTCCTCAGACTCTGGGACTGGTCCTCAGACTCTGGACTGGTCCTCAGACTCTGGGACTGGTCCACAGAGTCTGGAACTGGTCCTCAGACTCTGGGAGTCCAGCAGCTGATTAAAGGTCCATCGGTCTCCAAACGGTTCTGGAGAGGAGAGCAGAACCTCGGCTCCAGGAGGAGCAGTGAGCTTTGGACAGAAGGATGTAGAAGGTCATCTGTAGAAGGTATTGGACCGTGTCCCTCATGGTGGCCAGTGGGTGGCGCTCCAGGAGTACGGTCACTAATCTGGATCAGGACCCAAAGAACCAGATCCTGGATCCCAGCCTCCTCTGCAGGGAGGCTGGGTTCTCCCTCAGAGAGAGGGGGAGGAGCTCAGTCATCAGAGCTGCTGCTCCTCCAGAGGATGAAGATCTGCAGCCTGAAGCTTTTTAACCTTTTCCTGATTTATTGAGTTAATCTGCTGCTAAATATGAAGAAATATTCCAGATAAAGTTCAGAAATTAATGAAGGGAAGAAATTATCTGTTATGAAACTAAACGGAAATAAAGTCTTAATATTTCAGGGTTTTTATTCATTTCTACAAAAGATTAAATTCAGATTTCTTTATCTGTATTTTCTAGTTTTTGACCTTAAAAAGTGAATCAGGAGAAAAAGCTTCAGACAGAAGAAGCAGCAGAACCTCTAAGAATCTCTGACTTTATCCAAATATTAAAAACTTCAAAGTGATGAAAGCGGGCAGTGACGTCACAATGTGTTAATAAAATGAACCTAAATGTTTTTCTTCCAATTAGAGAATAAAATGTTGGAAGCAGGACCAGACCTGAGTTTCTCCAGAACCTTCTGACCTTCTGAGCTCAGAATCTGAATCAAACCCACGCTTCCATCCATCCACGCGTGGAGGCGTGCACGCGCTCAGCCCCCGCCGTGAACGCGCCCTCCATGTAAACACAAAGGGACGCTGATCAGTTACCTGCGGTCACCTGGGCGCGCTCTGTGCACGCGCAGAGTTCCGTCACAGACAGTTTTTCTTCCTGAAGCTGAAAAACACGCGGGACAATCCACGCCGCGTGGCGTCTCCTTCTCGCCCCGTGGCCTCACCGTCCCTCTGCAGCCTTCATCCTCCTCATCCTCCTCCACGCGGACTCTGCCTCCTTCTGTCTCCGCCGCTCACGCGCGCATGGATCAAATGACTTCAAAGGATCGATGACGTTTGCAGCGGGAACCTTTCAGAATAAAAGCCGCACCTGTCTGCAGGTTGATGCTTCCCATTCAGAAAGTCCTCCTGATATTTGATCAGAAATTCAACAAATTCTTTATTTCATTCAGATGATGGAATTATTGGTCATTTTCCTTTGGGTTCCTGCACATTTAGACTAAAGGGAAATAAAATGGCTGATAAAAATAAAAAAGCAAAATAATCTACAAACAGGAGTGAAAATGATATTAGAGTTGCAATTAATAAACCAGAAACTAAGAACATAATCAGGAAGAAAATTCATTACAAATGGCAAAAACTGTGGGAAGAAGATATTAGAGGAAAATGGTTCTATAGAATAAAAGGGAAGGCTGGAGAAATCAGAAGTATTGGAAGAAACAGAATTCAGGAAAAGATAATAACTAGATTAAGGTTGGGTCATATAGGACTTAACTCACCATTACTAATAATGGGAAAACATGAAACAGGAAGAAGTGATTTCTGTGTGGAAAACGAGACAATAGAAAAATTAATATATAAGTTATATATTACATGTTCTATTGTCTCGTTTTATTATATTATATAGTATATAATATAACTGTTATATAATATAACTGTAGGAAATATTACAAACAAAGACTGGAATCGATGAGGCGTCTTAAAAAAGAAAAGGTACAATTAAACATTGGAAACATAAAAAAAAAAGATTCTTTTGACATGAGTTACATTTTTGTTTC